GTTTCTCTTTTGCTTATCCCAAGGTATGCTCATTAATGACTATAATAGGGTTCCCTTATTTGCCTCCCCAATTATATATTTCCACGCTTCGGGAACCAAGCACGGTATTGAAAATCTTTGAAACGGTGATAATTCCGGCCAATCAATGTTAAGCCTTCTTAATTAGGATTCGAAATTTCCTTTGGGTGAGTAATTATCCTTCTATCTCTTTGAAAGGTAATCTACATCATTGGGCAAGACTTTAATTCTCATCGAAAGATTAACTCATCCAATATACACTCATACACTGTTAATGTAATTTGTTTGCTTTTTAGGTAACAAATATTCCCCGACCAAAAAAAAAAAAAAGATAACAAATATTCGACACTTCATAATGTATCAAATTTAGATTCTTCGAATATAAATTAACTAGAATGTATCTTTTTGAAAGAATAAAAATGTGATAAATTAGGGCGATCATCTATATATGTAATGCTTCTTTCAAATTGAAGTATCATCTTAAACCTCTCTCTATCTTTTTTCCACTACTTCTGCATACCTCTCTCTTTTTTTTTCTCTCAAACATAAGTTTTCATAATGGTATTCCTAGGCGGTGACAGAAACCCTAATCGGGAAAAGATGTGGCCTCGGCACCGGAACTATTGGGGCAAAGAGAAGTTCTTGGACTATCTAATCTTCGGCGTGATTGGGGCCACAGCTAAGGTTAGTTGTTTTTTTTTTTTTTTTTTTTTTAAATTTCATTTTATTCATGTTGCTTTTTCTGTTGTTTCTCTTCTCGTTGTGATTAGTTTGAATTTTGTATTTGCCGGAGAAAATCATGGGTTCAAAGCATTGAAATAGGGTTTATCATTGGAGATGTGTCTTGAGGGTTTATATGGTCTAACTTCGATCATCCTAAAAAAATTATGTTTCTAGTTGAAGTTATTAATTGGATTTGATGCATTGAAGATTTGGGTTGTCCAATAGGCAAACTTTCGCTACAATTCTCACAAGTCTCTTTTTAAAATAAAAATAAGAAAAAAAGTATGAGTGGTTGCATCCTTCATAGTGGTATTGTCGTATTGTTTGATGTTCGGTGTAGATTGAACTTTTCGCGCTAGATTATGTACTTGTAGTTGCTTCTGATTGAAACCCAATTTAGGAGCTGATATATATGCATTAATGCGGCAGGTTTCACGTCTCTGGCAAACTGTAAATTGGTTCTATGCTCAGGTAGGCAAACATTTTTTTTCTCCTGCTTTTGCATTTTGCCTAACACTTCATGACATCGTAGTGTTCATAAATATTGGTTACACCTCTAGTTTTTTTGGGTCTATGCTCGGCACTTACAACTGGAGAAGTTGGTAAATTTATCAGCTACATGATTTGAAGGGGGCATTTTCTGAAGTTAGTAGAGACTTGTGTCCTTACTAGGATGTGTAGAATTGAAGGACTGTATCTACATCAGTGTTATTTAGATATGAGTTTACTTCGGTGTTGGACAAGAATGCATAGGAAAACGAAAAGATTTTCATTTGACTTTAATTTCATTCCTGAAAGTACCATTTGTTTTGTTGGTCTTGTCGACAAATTTGGCCCTCTTCAGTGAGAAAGTGCAAATTTATACATCCAAGTTTTACTTTAAGTTCCTTTAGCATTGTTCGCGTTTATCAACCTCATCATATCTGGGACCATCGCTGCTAAGTCTCAAGTGAAGATAAGCATGAATATGACAGGCTGTTGATTCTGAATGAATGTTGTTGCTAAGTATTAGAATTTATTTGTTGAAGACCAGTGTTTGTGAGTTGATTCAAGAGAATAACTAGACTAATTTACATCGCGTATTTGTTGGGCAAAGCGACCAATTGCTTGGATTCTTTTTCTATACTTGTCACAGCTGACTATCCGTAGTTTCATATTCGGTACTCTTTCCGCAGGAGACCCCAAAGCGTATGCAGCGTGTGTTTCACAGAAAAAGGAGTAACTATAAAAGGGGCTACGAGAACTCGCATCAAAATGATGCTGGTGTATATAATCAGAAATTCCAGCGGGATGATTGGTATTGGGAGCCTGACACTTCGTTCAGAGATCGAAGTACTAATTTCGGGAGAGCTCCGAGGGGGAATGCAAGCTTCCCGTTGTCACATCATTACTCAGTTTTGGGCCTTGATTGGTGAGGCAATGTTGCAGATCTTGGTGATATGTGTATTGGGATGCTACATGTATCCTTCATGTTCAGAAAGTGGCGCAGAGGGTTAAAGAAAGAACTACCTTATGATTATCTCATCCTCTAGAAGGCATATAATTTGGGAGTTGCTTAGCTATATGTCCATCTGTATAATGCTTGCTGAAATCTGGTGTCTGAATTGTTTTCCCCTTTCCTTCTGGTTGACTAGTCCTTTTTCTTTATCCAGTTTACAGCTCGAACTAGCACTTTCAAAGGTTGTTAAATTGGGTATTATTGACTAGATAGCATTTGTTTGATATTCCCCTTTGGTTTGTACAAATATGTAAGCCCATAACTTTTGATGCATTAGGATGCCACTAGAACACAGAAGTAAAGCTTTTTACAGGTAGTCCTTACTATTATTTATATCTGCCAGCAGTTTCTATGCCAGAGGCAATTCAGTCTTTTATACTGTGAATGACCTTAGAGCAATGCGGTCTGGCAAAAACTAATCATGCGCTGAGGGGTGCGCATTAATGTAGTCAGTGGCCTATACTACTTTAGCATGTTTAGATTATATTTCCCCATATTTCTTGGGCTCTGCCAATAGACGATACATTTGATTCAGATTGACTTTACCAGGCAACTAGCAAGCTTCTCGAATTTGCTTGCCAATTGTGAACAATGATAGTGCTTTTTAGCTAGCTCATGTGTATGACCTGTTTTTTCTTTATCGTCAGACTTATAATCATTAGGTGGACTTGAAAGCAGTAACTCAATATGACAAAGTCGGCAAAATGAAGAGAGCTTGTCTGGGTTGCTTGGTTCTTCACTGTGATGTCTTAACATTGATTGTACTTTGGTTTTCAATTTAGACATAAGTATTAGTAAGAGAGAGAGACAGAGACAGAGAGAGATGTTGGAGCAGGGAATTAAAACTAAGCCTTATTCGGGTTTGCTATATGTAATTGTGCTTTTGTTGTGTACAAAACATTCTGTAAAATTAAGGTGCTCCATAACATGAGTTTTAGTGAGAAAGAGAGAGAGAGATGTTGGAGCAGGGAATTAAAACTGTGCCCTATTTGGGTTTGCTATATGCAGTTGTGCTTGGTTGTGTACAAAACATTCTGTAAAATTTTGGTGCTCCATATCTATCATATTTTCTTCTTTTAAGTCTTGTTCAGTCTTTCCCTGTCCCTTTTAAAAGAGTCTCCATCCCATAACACCTTCTTCTCTCTGTAGCATCATGAGGCTGTCTTACTATGGTTTTAAGCCGCTCGAAACGAGCTTCACCTGTGATGTCCCCATTTCTCTCCATTGAATTCATCCTTAATCATCACCTTGATAGATGTCAAAAGCACCTCCTTTCAGCCTTATCTGCATCGCCTGTGGCATGTATTTTTCTTGTTTTTAAACCTTTTACGTGCTCATTTCATATAATTTGGGTTTTCTGTCGCTGCGGACGGCATTTAGGGCCAAGGCAATGGAGTTCCATCCGGATCGGAACCAGGATAAACAGAGGTACGATGTGCTTGTTTTCACTGATCATGCTACCATTAACATCTTATAGTCTAAGTTTCAGGTGTAAGTATTAACATTGCATGTCTTACTGCAGTGGCTGCTGAGGCAAAGTTCAAAGAAGTAACTGTGTCTCACGGGGCCATCATGGAAGAACGGAAGTACAACAAGACCTAACACGTTGGTTTGATTGTGTCCATGATATTCCGAGGACTTGACATTGAGGATGCAACAGCAGATCAAGGAACGGTGCCGATGCGCTACATTCAGTTCGCGGGGGGTCGTTAACTGAAGAGAAGATTTGGTTGTGAATTTTGCAGAATTACTGGGCATTTGTTTTGAAAAGGCTATGATGATAAACACGGGGGTACCTATTCAATTTATTGTTAAAGTACAATAGGAAGTAAATGTAGTAACATATCTGATTTATAAATGGGTTATTTAGAAATTGAAGTGTAACGTACTTGATCAAGTAAAATACGTTCTTAATGGAGAACAAGCATTGTTGAAAAAAAAAATATGACTTATTAAATTACAAAGAAATTGCACTTAATAAAGACATTCACTAAATTTTAGTAGACCATAAATCAAAAATATCAAAAAGTGTAGCTCTCTTTATAGAGTATATAGTTTGTCTCGAACAATTTATGCTTAATATAAAGTACAATAGGTGTACCAGTTTGAAATAATGAAAACATGAAAATAGGAAATGGCGGAAAATTTCAAGAGAAACTGTATTCTCACGGTAAAATTCGACAGAAACTAACAAAGAGTAAATGTGCCACACGTGTATAAGTTTGAGGTAAATTTGTTGTACCAGTTTGAAATTTTGACAATAGTGAAAATCCTTTGTGTTGATTAAATTTTCTAAGAAATAATTTTTAGGAAGGCACCGTTGAAAATTATGGATTTTTCGTGGAATGGCCAGTTTTTAATGCAATTTGTTTCCGTCACAAATATACCGGGAATTGGACCGGTACTCACTAGTTCCTGTGAATTGGAATCGAAAATTGCACCGGTCCCAAATGGAATTGCCGGTTCCGGGCAGTTCCCGATTCCCGGTTCCTTTACACGTCCCCCTGTTGATTGACCACTTTTTCAAAAATGCATTTCGTTTTTGTCGCAAATGACAAAACGGCCATTCGAGGAGGCTCTCAGCTCCTTCCTCCTCCTATTGCTGCTGGTTCGCTCGCAGTTGGCAACTGTTTAATCGCGTCTTCAAGGTGAGATCCGAATGATCTGTCTGTCTCCGTTTCTGTTTGAGCAAAATCCGATCAAGTTTTGATGTCATTGCGTTGATTCTCTCACTTCATGTGTGGATTGGCGATAATCTAGAATCTCTCCGCCTTCTTTAATATCATACGAACGCCCTTCATGAAACTGGTCACCACATGTTCGACGAAATGCGCAAGCCAAGTCCATGTGAGTTTCAGTGGTCGAGAGCTCTCGGAATCCCGCTCTCGTAGTCTCTCGGTATCAATTGCTTGTTGCTCGCACTTACCCACTCCGTTATCTCTCTCTCTCTCTCTCTCTCTCTCTCTCTCTCTCTCTCTCTCTCTAGTTGGTCCTCTCCTCAATGGTTGACATGGATGCCAATTAGCAGTTTCTGGTCATTTATGTGCCAATCTTTAATCCGTTACACTATGTTTAGCATGTATTTCGGGAGGTAAAGAAAATTGTGAAGAAGATGACTTTCCTTATAGTTGTCCGGAAGAATAGATGTGGGGTGAAGCAAATCTGGAGAACTAGACTTCTGTATGTTAAAGATGAAAAGTAAGATGAAAGGGATGTGTTTGGTTGAAAAAATGGCGTTTTGCCCTTTCATGTGAAATGTGAATATGAGTGAGCATGATCATAAAATACTACTTGATGCAAGAATTGTGGAAATTATTATGTCGGTTGCATGCCGTTAAGTGTTCAATCCTTGATCAATTTGAACATAGTGGATTAACAGAGCAGGTTCTGTCCCTGTGACCGAATAAAACCTTACTATTTTGAACGAGAAAGATGGGTAATTTTTATGTGAATAAAAATAAAAAAGGAACAGGCAAATGTGATTCCAGGTGCTAAAGTGGGCAGTGACTGTGGGTACGAGATTGAAGCCACACTTGGGCCCGGGTAAACCCTGGAACCGACCTTGGAACCTGTTGACAGGGTAGGTTCTAGAATATGCAGGATAGGTTCCAGGATCTAAATGCCAGGGAACCGGTTCCAATGAGTAGGTTCTAGTTGCAACCTGGACCAAACCTGGAATTGCTCACCCCTATAAATTAGTCGGCAATTTTGTTTCTTTCCCATTAATTAAATTACATTGTCGATTCTAGGACAATGTAGGTTTTAAGATATGCAGGGTGGGTTCCAAGTTCTAAACGCTAGGGAACCAATTCCGATGAGTAGGTTCTAGTTGGAACCTAAACTGAACCTTGAATCGCTCACCCCTATAAATTAGTGGGAAATTTACATTGTCAATCTTCCTGTTTCAGGTAGAGGAAGCACCAGTGGAGGATTAGGAGGATGAGCGGAGGAGGAGAGAAAGGCTCGACCACCACGAAAACCCCCGCAGATTTCCTGAAATCTATCCGCGGGAGACCGGTCGTCGTCAAACTGAATTCTGGTGTCGATTATCGAGGTACTTCTCTTAACATGATCTCTATCTGTTAATAGAATTCTTCTACAAAGTTTTTCTCAACGTAGCTCGATAATGCTGAGTTTGAGATTTTTTCTGTCCTCGTATTTACTGATTGTACTAAATCCCATGTGACTTTAACTACTTGTCTCTAACTTTAAATAGTCAGGGATGATCTATGGGTTGAGTTCTCGGCAACTTGTATGAGCGAAGCGGTGAATTGCTCACCCGAAACTTCAAGCAGTATTTTAAGTCAACTGGAATTATAAACCAAATGAACCTTACCTATCAAAATGAAGTAAATGAAGAAGAATATTGCTTTTGGCATAAACTGTCAAAGGCATTTGTGACCCTACATCATGCTTCAAAGAATGAGCAGTTAAGTTGGTCTTGCCATGTACAGTGTGGTCTCGATGTAAGTCACTAAGCATTTTCTTTTCCGTCATCAGGGGGGAAACTATATCTAGTCTTTTAAATATAATAACCGTCTCTTTTTCTAACAATGTTCATGGTATTCACTGTTAAAAAGAGATCAATAGTAAAAGTGGGGCTCTGATGTTAAACTCGTCTTCTCTTCTATCAACAATGACTAGATGGGAAAGCTAATGTAGGAAAAATGTTTTGTTCATGAAATCAGGTATTGTTAGATCAAATGATGACCACAGTGATACGTATTTTTTTTTTTTTTTTGGAAAATGTAAAGGCAAGAATCTTGCACATGCATGCTGCTATTCGATAACAAGATACCAAAAACCTGTCTTTGATGGCATGAGAATTTACAAAAAAACTAGCATTCAAACTTCGTGGTTTTTCTTTTGAGTGTCGAGAGAGAGGAAAGGAGAACAAGCGCAGAGGAAGAGAAGGGGAGAAGCAGGGTGTTTGATGATAAATTAGCAAACTTATATGGAATTGAGATTTGGTTGCTTGAAAGCCATTTGATCCATCCCGATGGCCTTATTATGAAAATGAGAGGATTGTAGGTAATACCCTATATGCGGGCTTCTCAATCGAACTTTATTAATTAACTATTTGTAGTATCCTAATAAAGAAAAAGCTGGTGTCTGTGCGGTATGTGCCTATGACCAAGCCTTTTCGTGTCAACTTCGAGTAATTTTCTCAACTGTCTTCTGGTGTAAGACCTGGAGGAGAGGTGAGTTAAATGATAATAAACTAATGGATCTGCAGTGTTCCTGATAAGTATGTTCTTCATCCCATGCTATATGCAGGCTATGCTGATGATTAGTTTAGAACCACTATCTTTTGTTGTCTGAAGTTGTGGTACTCTCAGATGTTCTGATGGGTTGGAGTTTTATGCAGGTATTCTGGCCTGCCTGGATGGATATATGAACATAGCAATGGAACAGACAGAAGAGTACGTCAATGGGCAGCTGAAAAACAAGTATGGAGATGCTTTTATTCGAGGAAATAATGGTAATGTTGTATTCAGAATTTCTGCTTGTTAAATCATTTCTTTGCTGACTTGGACCGTGCCTAATTGGTATGACTTATTGCAGTTCTGTACATCAGCACTTCAAAGAGGACTCTGGCAGATGGGGCTTAGCATTGATTGTGCTTTATAATGTGGCATGGTGGAGTTATGTGGTCATAACTTTTGATGGGTACTTTCTTGGTCGCCGGTTGTTGTTGCTCTAGAATTGGAGAAAGTGAACACACTCTAAATTTTAGAGCTGATATGTGATTCTTACTGATAATCCTGCATCTCAAGAAATTGGTTTGTGAATTGCTTGATGAGCACTGGTAATGCCCTAGCTCTTCCTAATTTAGCATGTCGTCATATATATCTGGCTCTCTGTTTGTGTATAGCTGATTGGCTTCATGCTGTCCTGTTTATGAAGAAGGCGAATTGCATTTAAGCATCAACCTTGGATGCCATCTGTCTACGTCTGTATAATTGATTCTATTGCAAAAGCTCATGGGAATAATAGATATGATGTCTGTCAGGATATGCAAAGTCATTTTACGCTCGCAACCAGAAAGAGTCAGACTATTATTTTAATTAATCGAGCGAAATTACACTACCTTTAATTATATGTCCTTGCATGAAAATTGAAACCTTTGGCTTGTAAGAAGTAGCTGTTCCATTTCAAATCTACTTCCTGCAAAGTAATTATTTGCTGTTCTGTAAAAAATATAGGAGGAATATCTAATTAATCAGCCCTTTGCGAGAATAACTTGGTGTTTTAGTTGGTCCAAATTGCTCATTGATAAAGGATGCTTCCACACGTCTCTGTCTTTAAATGTGAATACAAAATCTTGATTTTTTTTTTGAATTCACAGTCTGTCTACGAGAGAATTTAGTATCCCGCGTAAATTTACATTGTGTCATTTCCCCTTAAGAAACCCAATTTATTAGATTCATCGGTATGAACTGCGGTACAAACATGCAGGCCTCACTATGAGGGATGGAAAATCCTTCACGTGGTAGCATTAGTGACAGAGACAAAATAGAGACACAAACGAAGGAAAATGGGTTCGTTGCAAGAAGACAGTCGATGCGCAGGAAATATCTAATCCCAAACGTCATAAGACGTCCCCCGATCAGATTTGTAGAAACAAACAAAACGAGTCATCAATAGCCAAACGAAAGATAAAACACGTAGTCAAAGAGGATCTTGCTGAATTCCCTTTCGTCTCCTGCTGTGGTGCTCATTAATTGTTTCTCTCTCTGTCGTACCACATTTCAGTAGCAATATCCCACATTATAACACTAGATTCGTAATTAGCCTTAGTGACATACACTAAAAGATTACTCCAATCAATCCCCTCCGGTATACTCTCGAGAAACATAGCACCTCTAGCCTGAAATATCTTCCTCACCTCTGTTTGATCATCTGCGATCTTGGATTCACGTTTCACCTCCTTAAAGAGAAAGATCCATAGCTTCTTAATAAAGGGATACCATTCGACCCAAATAAATAAATAAATAAAGGGATCCTTGGACACGTACATTGCATTCGCTATCACTATTACTCCAGCAAATATACAAATCAATGAAGCACAGTGTCAGGCTTGATGGATACAACAGATGATCTCATCAGCCATACCGCATAGGGAGCTGCGGATATTAGAAAAGCTAATGATACTCCGGCACCGTTTGCTCTCATACATCTTTCTCGGACTCTCCGTTAAGCTCTCGGAGAAAAGGTTACGAGCAGAGATAGGTTTTGATCACCTTCAAAATATTATAGTGTATCTAAAAACTCGTAAGTAACATTGGCATTAGACTTTGCTTTACATGTGGAGAACCAGGGCTTTCTTTGCTTATCTGTCTTGAGGGGAAATGAATCTAGTTTAGATTATTCGCTAGTGTAGGCCTCAGTTCTGCCAACATTCAAATCAGAGAAAACAAGCATGAACAAAGCTATCAAATCAAGAGCAATCCCTTTGAAAGAAGGGAATAAGTTCCACGTCGAGTTTGGGGAGCTGATGCTTCTTCAAACGATTGAATAGGATAAAAGCCATTATAACGTTAGTGAAGGCTATGAAGCGGAGAATGTAGCTGCATCCATTGAATATTACTAGCATTTTTGTGTGGAACACCACATAGATGAATTGGAGTTCAACTGCCATCACCCTCAACTCATCTATCGCAAAAACCCTGTGGAAATATTCGCAGCTCATTTGGCGTTCCCGATTTATGTACATGATATCTCTGATGAAGACCTTAAGGTTAGAAAGAAGTAGTAAAAGCATGCTTCTATCAGAACAGCCATCCGCTAGAACACTGAGTTCTTTAGCGAATCAATCGAGTGCCAACCGCTTTATTATTTCGAGACGTCCATGAAACTTGTGCTCTGAGACCACCCATTCCCTCAACCTAAAGAGGCTCAAGCTAATAAGTGCCTGAGTCGTCTCCATTTTTTTAATGACCGCAGCAAGAAACACCAACATCGGTAGGATCACCAACGATTTGTTGCTGAGAAAGATCTGCACAAAGACATAAATGGTGGTACCAACTTGGAAGATGAGAGTGAGCAGGTGTCATTGCTAAAGCAAATTGTCCTCCAGAAGGAAGGCAATGATGTTGTCTGGACCGCCAAGATGTAACAAGAGAAATGAGGCTCAAAATGCCTGAAATGCTCTGTCAACTCTAGCTGCACAAGCACGTGAATTGTCTTGGTTGTGAGAGATGAACCCAATTTCATATACAACTACCCAGGTAGACATCAAATAGACCAACCACAAAAGAAGAATTATGGGGTACTTTACGCTTTTCTCTTTAAGGGGTGCAAATAGAATGAGAATGACTTGAAGCGAGAGGCTTAGTATGACGAAATCTCGAATATTCCATGTGTTTCACAAAATCAAAATGGAAGAAGGCTCCATTTGCTTCACATAAAATATGATGTTTCTGGAAACTGTTTTCTAGTAAGTCATTTTTCAGGAAAATAACAATATTTTTCAGTGTTTGGTTGAAACTTCCGACATTTGGTATTAGATTTTCCATCCGTGTACTCCTTTTAATAATATGCATGAACTGGTTATTTACCATTAGTACAAGTAGACACATGCAAGGCTTACCGCGAGGAATGAAAATTTATCAATTCTTGGCATTAGTCACGAAAATACACAAATTAGTAAATCCTATTTAAACGAACACCGGTAGAAATGCCATGAGGATGGTAAATAAGACAGTCGATGCTGATGAAATATCTTATCGAAGTATTCATTATACAAACGATTTTCTCTCATCCTCCTCATCCCAGCGTTCAAAATGTGTGCCCCATTCATATTTGTATAAACAACCAAAATGAGCTATCAATAGCCAAACAAAAGCTAGAAACTCTCCACCTTTGCTCACCACCTCCACATGGGTCTCTCCCTTAATATTGCTTGCTGCATATGACAGCATCTCCACCCACACTCCGCTCGTCACCTTCCACTTCATTTCCCCAAGACTTTCCATCTCTAGGGACCAAGCTGATTCCCTCGTTGTACTCGGGAATTGAAGCTCTTTTGGCCTTCGCAAAACATTTCTTACATAGTCCCTTGACATCCTTGATTTGATCATGCCCTCTGCAGAGGCAGCCTAACTTGATCAGCATATTATTTGATATGATTCCAATAACGCCCACCACGATGGACGCCACATTAGGCTGATTACATAAAAGATACAACAGGTAGCTGGAGAGAATTTTGCCGAATTCTCTTTCGTCATGTTTGGCTGTGGGACTATCTATGTTTACCAAATTTCAATAGCAACATGCCACCCTATAGTACTCCAATCGTAATTAGCCTCGGTGACATGCTTTAAAAGATTGTCGTAATCAATCCCTTCTAGTCTACTTTGGAGAAATTCATCACCTCTAGCCTCAAAGATCTTCCTCACCTTTGTCAAATTATTCACATTCTTGAATCTACGTCTCGTCTCCTTAAAGATGAAGATCCATAGCTCCTTAATAAATGAATTTTTTGACACATGCTTCACAATCGCATGGTCTCCTAATAATGATTGTCCTTAATAAAGGTATCATCTGACACATACAACACATTCACAAACTTTTCTAATTTTGAATTCTTGTTTCTCGGACAACAGCCTCTGGCAATTGTGTATGGTCAATAAAGTTTACATAGATATAAAAAAAAAACCTAAAAAATAAGGAAAGTAAATAAATTTGGGATCACCACTTTAAATTGTAATTAAATGATTGAGGACAATTTTATCTTTTTTGGTGAAATTGGGTAGATTTAATCATATAAGGATAGAAATTGCGCCCACCTAAAAAAAAAAACCCTAATGAAACGTGCGTGTATTAGGACTTTGACCTCGTAAAACAAAACAAAAATTTCCAAGTGCACAAATATGTTGAAATGATGACGTTTTCCAAAGGCAAGTCATCCAAACGCTTCCTACGTCATCCTTGCGGTCAGCAGCAATAGATTAATCACTAGGATAGAACCATCTAACAAAAAGCAACTTGCAATGTTGGGTTTCATAAACTTTTATTGTTTTTTTCCGGAGAAAGTCCTTGCCTTTGTTCAAAAGAAAGGAACGAAGAAATCGTGCAACAAAGCAACCCACACCGTACACCAGCTTTAAAAGCCATTTGACTAACAGTTTACATTATAAAAAAAAGAAAATGGCATATTTTCATTTCCCGACGACAGCAACTCAACATTCCCATGTTCATCACGAACCACAAACAATACCCATTTCCATATCAATATCAATGACGCGGAGTAATTTCTATGAACATAATTAGACGATGGGATGGGTTTGAAAAACGAATTCGGCTGAATTTATTGGCAAGACTACTGAAATTTTGTTCGACAAGTCTTCATAGGCTTCACATTGGGTCGGACAAAATGATATGTTTGAACTTGTGTCGTCGAGTGCGGTGAAATTCTAGAGGAACAAGGACGTTTCATGCACGTAATGACAAATTATTACGCTTATTCAGATGAATCAACTCTACCGACTACACACGTATTCAGAATGAGCTATTACTATAAGAATGATTAAGTATGATTACTTATGATCAAATTCGTAATGAAGTATCCTAATGAAAGAGACTGCAAAATTTAAGAAAGAACGAAAGAGACGTCTAAGTCCACAAAATTTGTTCCAAACAAATCAGTTTTAGAAAGGTGATTGATTAGGGTTCTCATTAGACACATTATTGCTGATGCCATTTACGTCCCAAGTGAGAATCTTCAGCTTGAATAAAAACTAAAAACATGTTTGCGAAATTCGTATTTGATTATGATATTTATATTAAGATAAACAAATCGTCTAAACTTCAGAAAGATTGTCCTTTCTAAGGCACCGTCCTATATGATCTTTAATCAAAGAGTTGATTTCACATGAAACCTTGACGTTCTGATGAAGTTTTGTCTTGGGTAAGCATTATCAGCCTGGATGAAGTTTCGTACAAAGAGGTCTTTTTCGAGGTATTTTCTTCAATTAACTCACTGATAGAGATTGCCTTGATCTTATCATCTTTGTGCCGTGTTGACTTCGTGAACTATGTGTATCATGTGGTGATAAATTTACATCTTGTTGTATATTTTTTGAGCGGTACTAAAATGTCCACATCATTAACAATAGCTTAAATGTAAATTGAGGATGTCTCGTGTCATGAAAACATGGCAGAACCGTCCAATGAAACATCATTAACAATAGCTTAAAGGTTGCCATAAGTTGCCAAATGGCTAATTAGATTTTAAGAAAGATTAGCCGCAATTAAATAAGTTAAATTAACATTTATAAGAAGCAAATTTGAAATGGATTTGGAATTTGTTTAGATTGAAATTAAGGATGGACAACCCGAACTGACTTTATGTGTTCAAATACGAGGGATCCACGTCTCCTCATTATAAATAGGAGAATCTCCATTGCTCTTGAATCTGTTCTTGAGAATTGAAGTAATTCCATAGTTTCATTTCTAATAAGAGATTGTACTCCATTGCTAACATTTACTAATCGGTACACCATCTTCTAATACGATTTCTTATTGAATTTTTTCTTGTTGAACTCCCAGCCTATTTCATTTCTTGCATACTCAAATGATCTTCTCTCACCTGCTGAAACAATAATGTTGCTGGGTTATGCTGGATAATAAATTAAATAAATGGCCCTTTTTTATCATTAACTTCCTGAATTTTATGAGCAAGAATTCTAATTTTCTGTTTTTGAGAGATATTTTCCTATCTGCATTGACCGGAGAGAATGCAGTTGAATCAACGCCCTTCAAGATCAATAATCTGTGGACAGAATGCAAATGTGAACGAGGAAACCCCAGAGCAAGTTTCATACACGTAGCGACATGGAAACAGAATTAACTCCACAACCCCACCAGCTCAGAATCAGCTAGCGGATCTACGATGGACCCAGTGCAGTACGGATGCGTAGGATATGGCCAGCTCTTCACTGAAGTTCTCCCAAAGGGTCCAGTGCACATCATTGCCGATGCCCTCTCCTACGTCCAATGTGATGGCGACGGCCTGACGACTGACGACGACTCGTTGCTCTGTGATTTATAGATTGAAGTCGAGCAGAACGCTTCACTTAATCCTCCTACTCATTACTCAACGCCCACCTGAGATTAGAACTGCGAAACCCCAAAGTCCCATTTAGGATTTGAGTAACTTGACTTGATTAAGCTCCGGTTTGGGTTCTGTTTTGTTCACTAATCGGCTGGTCCCCTCCGGGTAGTAGGCGACAGTTTCAAGGCCGGGTTGTGAAATTTGTCCTCGAGTACTGCCCAACATGTGATCTGAATTGACAAACTAATTTGTAGGGTCTGAACTTTTTCAAGGTCTTCCTCAGTATTAGAGATTGCCTTAATGTATCGTCTGTACGAAAGAAGTTTCGACCTCGCGAGCCGTGCATGTCGATAGCGAGTTTATCCGATGCTATGGGGTAATTGTTAAGGGAACAAAGTGTTGTGAATGACTGTCAAAATCAATATTTGGTAAACTTTCACTCACTGTTTTGGAAGTTTTACCTTGATGATCAGTTGGCTCTATTTCTTTAAGCCGATAAATATATGAACATGGGCTAATTTCCTTTCTTTTTCCTTTGAATCTCTTGTACATATTGATCTTATATGAAATAACGTTTGCATTCTCAATCTTCAAAATCTAACATCATGAAGCTCTCAAAAGACCATCATTTGCTATACAATAATGACTTTCGGTCCTCAGTTACATAAACTTGCATAGCTAGCTTCACAACCTTGGAGAGATCCATACTTCCTCCTCTTTATTAAGGCATGAACTGCCGTACTGTACGTTCAAACAAATACTAGAATTCAAAACATAACGAAAAACCAATACTCGGCATCTTGTTAGGGTGAATGGATGGCCATCAATTTTCCCACAGATTAACGGCAAAATCTTCCAAGGAAGCAGCAAAAAATGTTGTCTCCGATGGCCACCCAGGATATGATACCGTAGTCGTCGAGTCGATGAAAAAAGCATTTAGATCTTGTACCATGTATGCATCATCCACAGGAAAGTGTTGTGCCCACAAATAGCTTTGGACTTCATCATCCACGTATGATGAACACAAATAGTTCTCAAAGGAGTTTTCCTTGTCCCCATGGATTCCGATGGATTGATTAGAGCTCGATGCGCCAAATTTATCTGGGCTTGAAGTCAGATTTCCGGTAAAATCTCCGAGATTCGACAATTGTACTGGAATTGAAGTGGGAGTTGACCTACCCTCTTCCCCTTGAGATGAACTCTCATGATTGGCGTCAACACTGTTACTCGCCCTTGCGTCTACGGAATTTCTTGGCTTTTGCATCGGTTTTCCCTTGAACCGCTTCTTCAAGCGGCTGTTCCAGTAATTCTTCACTTCATTGTCTGTCCTTCCGACAAGTTTTGATGCGATTGCAGACCATCTGTAACAGAAGAGACGAGTTAAGAGATGGAATTCATTGAAAATCGAGATGATGTATTTTTGAACTCCACTGCATTTGTTATAGTGAATCTGCTTACTTGTTTCCCAGAACTTCGTGAAGCTTGATGATGGTTTCATCCTCTTCTTTGGTGAAATTTCCATGCCTAAGGTTGGGCCTCAGATAGTTCATCCACCGAAGTCGGCAACTTTTCCCACTTCTTTTCAGTCCTGAATCAATCACAAATACACAAGTTTAGTCCAAATTTGAGTAATTCGGCTTCATATAATCATTCCCATCTTGAAAGAGAAATTAGAATCATAGAGACACAAAGATGGTGAGTGAAACATATGCATATCTTGTCTAAGTGGAGTCACCTGCTGGTTCAGCCATGCGGCTCCAATTCCAAATGCCATGCCTCTTGATATAAGCAGTGAGCTTTTCATCTTCCGCTGCACTCCAAGCGCCCTTCTTCAACCTCCTTTTCTCATCCGACACAACCCACAGCTCGGCCATTTGATGATTCTCTCTGAGTACTCGTGACTACTTGATTAGACCCACATCCAAAACCTAAATCCTCAGAACGCCAATTTATAGTGACCCAAGCAAGATCTAGCACGTGTTTCCTTTTTTTCAGTAAAAGTTGTCCAGGTTAACTTGAACCCTTGAAAAGGCATATAATAGCAAGAGAAGGTCCTGTTTAGTGTCGGTGAAAAAGGTGGATTTTGTTGGTCTTACTTCATGATAAACCATGCGCTCAAACATGAGGACAAAAGAAATTTCTCCGCAAGACCCCCTTTTCATGTTCACACACATCACTGTAATTTTTCATTCGAAATGCAAAGGGTATTCTGGACTGCCCATACACCAATTACTCTAGAGGCGTTGACATCACCAAATAATGACGTCATCACATATTGGGCCTTTCCATCATAAGAGTTGGACTATGCAAACATAAATGTCTTCTCTGAGGTATGATTTGATGCAGTAGATGATTTATCTTTTAGGGCGTGATGGGTACAATAGAGACCATACCAAGCGTGTATACTACAAAAATTGAGTTGTCAGAAGACAACTGGTCATTCTCAACGGTATGACCTCTGAGATTGCTGAAAGATTTTATAAGGAAGCACCCCCATTTGAGGACCGACAAAAAATAAGGACATGAATGGATCTGTTTCTTAAGAAATTATCTGATAGAAAACCTAGGGAAGAGATATTATTTTCCCATTATTAGAGAGAGAGAGAGAGAGAGAGAGAGAGAGATGAATAATTTTGCTTCCTTAAAGAATAACAAGACTAATCAAAAGAGAAATCCCTACCATACTATATATATTAGCCAACTTGTTGCGAGGTTCTTGAAGATGTGAGTGGTAAAGACATGACTAATCGTGCATCTTACTTCCCCTTATTTTAGTTAAAAGAGAAGGAAGCTCGCTTAAGGTCTATTACCCCTTATGTCAATCGGCTTCTTCCTACTTGTTTGTCCAAAAGAATGACATGATATCTCCTCCACTTATTAATGTTTGAGAAAGTCAAACATAAATTTCCTCTATGACATCATGCCTATGTCTAAGCATTCAAGCTATCAAAATAAAAATTGGTGATGAATGGTTGTCGCATCTATCAAAAATCATTAATTTCAACCCTTCCCATTGGTGGATAGTAGTATAAGCTGGTGCTAGTGAACGAACTTAGGTGGTGGGGGTTAGAAAATAATCGGCAAGAATGGAATCAGACTTTGAGACGTAAATACATTGTCTTTAAGAAATTGTTTGTCCTACAAAGTTGCTAATGGTTACTGACAAAAATCCTCTATGATACAACAAAATCTCAAAATGATAATACTATATTGCAATTCTGGTACTTGTCCAAGAACTCAAAAGGAAACAATTAAAGAATAAATGTTGTATCTTAAGAAAGTAAGCGAGAAATTAAGCCCACTTAGCCCATGGTCATCAATTGTAAGTGAAAAATTATCATAAGGTCAAGCCCACTTAGCCCATGGTCATCATTTGTAAGGTTAGAATATTTCCATACTTATATATTGGCACACATACTCACATCTTTTCGCTGTAAGACAGGACACCTTTTTGTTTATTTTACAAACAAACTATCAACAATGGGTGTACCTGATCTCCGAGTCAAGAGTTGACCTAATGGGTGGAGGTGTAGAGTGAAGCATTTACGGAATTCTCCAAATGTGTTTCATGCACCTAACCTAAACACGAGGAATCCACGGACCAACCGGACATGTTCCCCTTGTAATGTGCCGAAACTCAACCAGGACCAACCGGACAAGTTCCTATAAGGAATTTTTCAGTTGGTCAACTAAAAACAACCCTTTTTCACAATGAGGCAAGTATGAAATAGTACACAAAAAATGCATGCATGATAGAATTTTTGGTTTGATTCTTAGATATTCGGGTTTTCCTTTGGTTAGTTAAACACGATTTCACATCTTGAAGAACCTAATTAGCTTCTTCTACACACACAAAATTTGGGCTCGGTTCTTCAAAATTAGTTAAACACAATTATTGTGTTTGGTGAGATGCATTGTTTTCTATCCACTAAACGACAAGAAAAATTAGGGTTCGCTTCTTCAAGATGTGAGTGATAAAGACATGACTAATCGTGCATCTTACTTCCCCTTATTTTAGTTAAAACTGAAATGAGCTCGCATAAGGTCTATTACCCCTTATTTCAATCGGCTTCTTCCCACTTGTTTGTCCAAAGGAACATGATCTTTCCTCCACTTATTGATGTTTGAGAAAGTCAAGCATAACTTTCCTCTATGACATCACGCCCTATGTCTAAGCATTCAAGCTTTCAAAATAAATAAGAAAACTTGGTAATGCAAGGTTGTCGCATCCCTCGAAAATCATTCTATTTCAAACCCTTCCCATTGGTGGGTAGTAGAAGAAGCTGATGCTAGCAAACGAACTTACGTGGTGGGTGTACCTAATCTCCGAGTCAAGCGTTGACCTAATGGGCGGAGGTGTGGAGTGAAGCATTTATGGAATTCTCCGAAATATGTTTCACGTTCCTAACCCTAAACACCAGGAATTGACGGACCAACCGGCGAGAAGGAGACTTGGCAAGAATTTTTTTAGTCAATTCCCATCTTGAAAGTCAACTACAAAAGAAACCTTTTTCACAATGAGGCAACTGCGATATAGTACACTAAAATTACATGCATGATAGAATTTTTGGTCTAATTCTGATATATTTGGGTTTTCTTTTGGCGAGGACCCGGTCGAATGTATCTTAAAACTAATTTCGATGCACCACACTATGCCCACTGTCTCTAGTTCATTCAAAAGGATGCCATTTTGGTCGAAAGCAACATGAATCCATTTCATGATTAATGTTATGTGCATAAGTTTTATGTCTAATTGTCCAATATTTGGGTTGGTCCTTTTTCTTTTCCTACTCTGATTTAGTGGTATGAATCTTAGACTAATTTTCGTGCATCGGATTAAGCTCACCCTGTCTAACCCACAAAAGCACAGCATTTTATCAAGAGAATCACATGATTCACAATTTCTTGATGTCAAGACTCAGCATTTTATTAAGTTACGCTCTTGCGAAGACAAAGGCTACTAAGCTTTTACACAACAATTAAATGATGTGAGGCACTGGAAAAGGCAAATGACCACATGAGGTGTAAGTGTCGTTGAAGTTTTGCCCCATCTTTTTACACAGATTCTTATCATCTGTGAGAAACTAACTCAATTCTCTCCAAACACTAATGACAATAAAGAGTACTAGTTCCCTTCAATCTAATCAAGCATTCCTTTTCAAATTCGTTTTATTAGCTATTTTTTTCATATGAGGATGGTACGGAAGATGGTGTGAAAGAGTTAAATGCTTTCTCCGCGTTGAGAAACTGTTCTTTCCAAGGGTTTGTGACTAGGAGACACCGTATATATGAAGTTTGATATTCAATGCAGTCAATATATAGAGAAACAGTGACATATCATGCATTGTAAAATAATAAAAAAGTTTTAAACAGCTTTCCTTTTCTTATAGAAAAAAAGTTTTTAAACAGTTAAATGAGTGCTCAATTGAACCTTTATTATGCTGCTTTAATACTTCTCTGCTCTATGCGCTTAAATTTGGTCTAAGACTCTTCTTTTTTTTTTTGGTCAGAGGTCCAAGACTTAACTAAGCAAAAAAATTGATTATAACTGGGGAAACCAATAAAAAGTATGGAGAGATTGGAGCAGATGGGAACAATGTCAAGTAACTTTTTTTTTTCTTTTCTTTGCTGGGAAAGCAAGAGTTTTATTTATCATAAATCGAGCTACACATCATTGTCCATCGAAGCATAAGACAAATCCCAATCCCTACAAAAATTATGTCAAAGCCCTGCAATTTACCTATTACATCTGTCTTCAATTTAATTTGCTACTATCTTTGCCCTTATGACAATAAAATGCTGCTCATGAATCTTCCTGTTTCAAGTCATCGACAGGTGATACAATGCCTGCCAAGCCTACTTTGGGATCAAAGAAAGACAGTGCTGAACCTTTCAGGCAAGTCTGTCGAGACCGGCATCCTCAAGGCCTATCAACTTCACAAAGGTTATATATTATCCTACATCGTAGAGCAGCCAAAGAATATCATGTCTAGTCTGATTTACCAAACCCCACAAATGGCATAATAGCAGATTTTTTTTTTTGTTTGAACATAATAGCAGACTGAGTGGAAGAAATCTGCTGAGAAATGTTTTGGCGAGTTCTTAGTAACTTAAAGGTTCAAATTATCAAGTTCTGCACCAATTTACCGTCATCATATAATCCCCTTCTAATGATTGTTTGCCATATTTTCACAACTATTTGGTGGAAACAATTTACATTTGACTTTCGCTGTCATTAAGGAGTGGAAGAAATCTCTCTTATTATTTTTTTCACGGTCAATACGTGGAAGAAATCATTAATACACACCCAAAAAGTAAAGAACAAGTTGCTTCGTTTAATTTCAAACTTGGTGTGCTATTATGCATGTGTCTTCTCCACTCCTTTCCAAGAAACTCTCAGCAAGTTGGCTATACAATGAACACCATGATGACCTAAGGCCGCTTACGTCACTTCACTTGTTACCGACAACCATTTATATTGCGGAGGAAGGCACTTCTCGTTTTCTTGTTCTTCTTCTTGTTCTTTTTTCAACATGAGTAAGACTAGGGTTTTTCTCTTTTGATTATCGCAAGATACGCACGCTAATAACTAAAATAACGTGCTTCATAACTGTATTTACAGATTAATGTATCATTTGGAAATGGACTTATTATCGTGCTGTAGTCGGCTAAGCTCGTATATATCAGAAATTAAAATCAAACGTTAGGAAAAAACTAACCTGAAAGCAGTACAACCAAATAAGCAGAATGTTGATCCGAGCCCAACGAATTAACGTCGTGTCCTTAAGACGAATTTGGCCCCTCAATCGAGTACCCGAGGATATTGGACAATCGTCTCCCGAGGATAGAACGGATCTCGTTCCTCCGGCGGTACGTATTCGGAGGACTCCAACGAACGCAATTTTGCAGAACAATCGCACCAAATGACAATGATGAAGTGAATATGCGTAGTGTGCGTCTAGGAAAAATGAATGCCACGAAGTGATATTTTTATTCCGAACTAAACTGTTCGGTCTTATTCAAGTGACGAAAAATGAAGAGT